TACAAACCAGGAGTGGGTTAAATAGGAACTGTGTCATGAGTACTGCGTCAGAGCTATGCATTACACTCTGCACTATCTGAGATTGTCTCACTAGTTAAAGTTGTTGTTCAGTAGTGACAATATTTTTCTGGTCCTTATGCACTTTTCTTAGCAAAATAGACAACGCTCTGTCTTTTACCCTGCAACACGACGTTAACGGCGTTCTGCAATACAAGCAACTGTCATAACTTTATGCATAACAAAGACTTTTAAAATTAGATTATGAGCTAGAGATTTCCATCGCGTGATAGTTGACGAGTCGGCGTAGCCCAATCGAGTCAGCTGGCACGCATAGAAATCGGGAGCGAATGATCTAATTGTTTTAGTATAAATCTACTCTCATCTAAATTCTTTTCGCAAACACTTCCAAAACGCAAAACGTCATTTTGTTAACAACCGCACACTGCTACAACAGATTATATAATAACCCAAGTTATTCTCGCATTTTGATTGGTTCTCACCTATGATCTATTAGGGGACAGACGCACGATTAACGTCATCATTAAAAAGTTTTTTCCTCTGTGTTGTAAAATGGCGGAAAGTTCTGAGAATTTAGATAATATTCTACATGACTGGGCAAAAGATAAGGTACAAAAAAGTCTTGTCGAGGCATTGAACAGGTACGGGAAGAATAGTCTAACAGGAAGAAGAAAGATAAAGCCATTTCTTTTTGGAAAATGACTCAGAAAAAATACTCAAGCAGTCTCAGTCGGAAGTCGAGCGAGACTAAACCAAACACAAAATTGGTCTTGGTAAGCCGAGCACCATTGCTTTATCTCGCAGTTAACAAACCCAATAAACAAAATGTTTATGAGATTAATTTATTTTAAAAATTCAACTTTTCCCAGTCTCAAAATAATTGTTGACACACTGATTGATGTCAGGAATGAAACATCAAAACATCAGTTAACCTTGCTTTCCGATGCGAATGTTCCAGTCCGTTTCAGGGCACAGCAGCGTGCAAAGTATAGCTCACTACAGCTCACGGCCAACTGTATCGCCGCAGCTAAAAGGTGTCTCCGACACTATTTCAAACTGATTTGAGAATCACCAAACACAAAGGACACAAATTTCCACCGTCACTAACGCTCCTTTCACTCCTGCAATATTCAAGGCAACGTCCAAGCTTTTCGACTCACAGGGCNCACACTGCTACAACAGATTATATAATAACCCAAGTTATTCTCGCATTTTGATTGGTTCTCACCTATGATCTATTAGGGGACAGACGCACGATTAACGTCATCATTAAAAAGTTTTTTCCTTTTTTCACAGCAGCGTGCAAAGTATAGCTCACTACAGCTCACGGCCAACTGTATCGCCGCAGCTAAAAGGCGTCTCCGACACTATTTCAAACTGATTTGAGAATCACCAAACACAAAGGACACAAATTTGCACCGTCACTAACGCTCCTTTCACTCCTGCAATATTCAAGGCAACGTCCAAGCTTTTCGACTCACAGGGCTGCTCTGACGACAAAAACTGACTTGACTTATCTAGCATTTTCTTTAAGATTTGAAGATTTTGCAGTTCAATTTTGCTTTCGCTGTAAGTTTTCATTCCACGAGAAGCCACGCTCGAGTCAAGTTTGACAGTGGCGTGATTTTCCTGCACCAATCACAATTCTTTGCAACGCATAGCAACCAATGAGATTGCTTCATTTTGTATAGACAATATATTACGTCAAATGGCTTTTTTCGCGTTCGCCAAAGTGGGCAAAGGCCGAATTTCGAGTTATGTTGAAAGATTTTGAAATAAAAAAGCTTTATCTGTGGTAGTTTGTTTCGTTACAGGTTTTTATGGTTTATAGGCTGATAAACCACGCGGGATGTTGGAATAACAACAAGTGGTTTATCATGCCTGTAAACCGTAGAAACTTGTGGTTTATTGCTTTTATATAATAATTCAGAAGACAAGCGAAATTTCCCTGAGTTTACTGCACAACAAACCATAGCTGATCGATCAATCAGAGCGCGCGCACTCATTTAATTATTATATAAAAAACAAATAGATTCCACATTGCCGTGCGTCTGTTCAGTAACAGATCATTATTTCTTGTGCGATGAAAGTAAAATCGCAATTGGCCGAAATCAGTCCGTGAGCGGTCCATTAGCGGTCCGTATTGCAAACTACACACTGTTCATACAACCAATCAGAATTCTCCTTTTCACCCCAGACCGACTGAGCCATGTAATAAATGAAAGATATAATAGAACTGCAGAGAAAGACGCACAGACATAAAGATCATCACAGTTGGGTACACAACATAAGCACCTGTGAAAATAAAGCCTGAAAAAAACATTCAAGCTTAAACTCGATTCAAAGCCATGACTAGACAGTTGTAAAAGGGTGCGAGGCTTCTTTCCTAAACGAGATGGATGTAAAGTGAAAATATTGCGATTCAGAAGAGGAGTAAAATAAAGTAGATGATCTTATGAAACATCGATCTACCGCGATTGCTCACAGGTAGTATTTTAGACCTCTTCAGATCAATTTAGAGAACAACCAACCAACGGCTGAAAAAGCGGTTTTCGCGTACAGTTCGCGAAAAAACATTGACAGTGTTGTAAGTAAGGTTCAAACTTTATTATTGAAAATCTCAGAAACGAATATTTCGTTTCAGTGGCTCTAGACTTTGTTTAAGTGTCAATAAGTATTTAGCTCTTAGGGGAGGGTCCTGACTAAAACCAGCCTCCTGGCCCTCCAGGTTGGGGGTTAGGCGTAAGGTTGACAACCTCACCCTATAAAAAAGATTTTGTCACGGAAACACCAACAAGAAATCTTCAACCTTTTGGTCACCAAGGGAACTCAGAGCCTTCACGGGCTAGAATGACCAGTGGCAATGAAAGCCAACAGGAAGCTGTGGCTGCGAGACTGGGAGCCTTGAGCACCAAGACAAAGACAAGACTAGGATTCTGGAATGTAAGAACAATGTTTAGCACAGGAAGGTTCGCGCAGATCACCAGAGAGATGAATGAAAATAAGCTTCACATCCTTGGTATTAGTGAGTGTAGATGGACACAGCAGAAGAACGAAGATTAAGATCTACCAAGCTTGTGCACTCTCTGTACTACTCTACGGATCTGAATGTTGGAGAATGACTGTGCATGACTTGAGAAAGCTGCAAAGC